GAATTTGAAAGATATTGACATGAATATATAACTGTTTGTATCAAAAAATGATAGTTTAAACTGATATTTGCAGTTTTGATGCGGTTTTAGGTACGATATGAGTCGAAGAAGCCGATTTTGATAAACTATTAGATTTCGACGTAAGGCAACCTTTCTGAGTCAAATAGTTGCCGATTTCAATAAAATCTTAGTCAGAATCTGCTTTTTCGCCTCTACCTTAGAAATGCAGATATATACTTAAAACACCTTTTTTGGGACAAATAATTGGTTTTCGCCCTTGATTTACGGAAGATTATAGCCAAAACATGCATTTTCATAACTTAGCGAACTGAAATCTTCATTAAAACTGCAGATAACTACTTAAAAATTCACTTCCTTGAATTGATAATAGGTTTTTCTTTGTCATTTTAAACAGATTCCAGTCAAAATCGGCTTCTTCGACTCATATCGTACCTAAAACCGCATCAAAACTGCAAATATCAGTTTAAACTATCATTTTTTGATACAAACAGTTATATATTCATGTCAATATCTTTCAAATTCTAGTCAAAATCAGCGTCTTTGGGCATTTAAGTAACGAAAACCTTAATAAACTATTAGATTTCGACGTAAGGCAACCATTCTGAGTCAAATAGTTGCCGATTTCGATAAAATCTTAGTCAGAATCTGCTTTTTCGCCTCTTATTGTACCCAAATCTACCTTAGAAATGCAGATATATACTTAAAACACCTTCTTTTGGGACAAATAATTGGTTTTCGCCCTTGATTTACGGAAGATTATAGCCAAAACATGCATTTTCATAACTTAGCGAACTGAAATCTACATTAAAACTGCAGATAACTACTTAAAAATTCACTTCCTTGAATTGATAATAGGTTTTTCTTTGTCATTTTAAACAGATTCCAGTCAAAATCGGCTTCTTCGATTCATATCGTATCTAAAACCGCATCAAAACTGCAAATATCAGTTTAAACTATCATTTTTTGATACAAACAGTTATATATTCATGTCAATATCTTTCAAATTCTAGTCAAAATCGGCGTCTTTGGGCATTTTAGTAACGAAAACCTTAATAAACTATTAGATTTCGACGTAAAGCAACCATTCTGAGTCAAATAGTTGCCGATTTCGATAAAATCTTAGTCAGAATCTGCTTTTTCGCCTCTTATTGAACCCAAATCTACCTTAGAAATGCAGATATATACTTAAAACACCTTCTTTTGGGACAAATAATTGGTTTTCGCCCTTGATTTACGGAAGATTATAGCCAAAACATGCATTTTCATAACTTAGCGAACTGAAATCTACATTAAAACTGCAGATAACTACTTAAAAATTCACTTCCTTGAATTGATAATAGGTTTTTCTTTGTCATTTTAAACAGATTCCAGTCAAAATCGGCTTCTTCGACTCATATCGTACCTAAAACCGCATCAAAACTGCAAATATCAGTTTAAACTATCATTTTTTGATACAAACAGTTATATATTCATGTCAATATCTTTCAAATTCTAGTCAAAATCGGCGTCTTTGGGCATTTTAGTAACGAAAACCTTAATAAACTATTAGATTTCGACGTAAGGCAACCATTCTGAGTCAAATAGTTGCCGATTTCGATAAAATCTTAGTCAGAATCTGCTTTTTCGCCTCTTATTGTACCCAAATCTACCTTAGAAATGCAGATATATACTTAAAACACCTTCTTTTGGGACAAATAATTGGTTTTCGCCCTTGATTTACGGAAGATTATAGCCAAAACATGCATTTTCATAACTTAGCGAACTGAAATCTACATTAAAACTGCAGATAACTACTTAAAAATTCACTTCCTTGAATTGATAATAGGTTTTTCTTTGTCATTTTAAACAGATTCCAGTCAAAATCGGCTTCTTCGACTCATATCGTACCTAAAACCGCATCAAAACTGCAAATATCAGTTTAAACTATCATTTTTTGATACAAACAGTTATATATTCATGTCAATATCTTTCAAATTCTAGTCAAAATCGGCGTCTTTGGGCATTTTAGTAACGAAAACCTTAATAAACTATTAGATTTCGACGTAAGGCAACCTTTCTGAGTCAAATAGTTGCCGATTTCGATAAAATCTTAGTCAGAATCTGCTTTTTCGCCTCTTATTGTACCCAAATCTACCTTACAAATGCAGATGCAGAAACTAACCAAAACACCTACTTTTGGGACAAATAATTGGTTTTCGCCCTTGATTTACGGAAGATTATAGCCAAAACATGCATTTTCATAACTTAGCGAACTGAAATCTACATTAAAACTGCAGATAACTACTTAAAAATTCACTTCCTTGAATTGATAATACAATAAGAGGCGAAAAAGCAGATTCTGACTAAGATTTTATCGAAATCGGCAACTATTTGACTCAGAATGGTTGCCTTACGTCGAAATCTAATAGTTTATTAAGGTTTTCGTTACTAAAATGCCCAAAGACGCCGATTTTGACTAGAATTTGAAAGATATTGACATGAATATATAACTGTTTGTATCAAAAAATGATAGTTTAAACTGATATTTGCAGTTTTGATGCGGTTTTAGGTACGATATGAGTCGAAGAAGCCGATTTTGATAAACTATTAGATTTCGACGTAAGGCAACCTTTCTGAGTCAAATAGTTGCCGATTTCAATAAAATCTTAGTCAGAATCTGCTTTTTCGCCTCTTATTGTACCCAAATCTACCTTAGAAATGCAGATATATACTTAAAACACCTTCTTTTGGGACAAATAATTGGTTTTCGCCCTTGATTTACGGAAGATTATAGCCAAAACATGCATTTTCATGACTTAGCGAACTGAAATCTACATTAAAACTGCAGATAACTACTTAAAAATTCACTTCCTTGAATTGAAAATAGGTTTTTCTTTGTAATTATAAACAGATTCCAGTCAAAATCGGCTTCTTCGATTCATATCGTATCTAAAACCGCATCAAAACTGCAAATATCAGTTTAAACTATCATTTTTTGATACAAACAGTTATATATTCATGTCAATATCTTTCAAATTCTAGTCAAAATCGGCGTCTTTGGGCATTTTAGTAACGAAAACCTTAATAAACTATTAGATTTCGACGTAAGGCAACCTTTCTGAGTCAAATAGTTGCCGATTTCGATAAAATCTTAGTCAGAATCTGCTTTTTCGCCTCTTATTGTACCCAAATCTACCTTAGAAATGCAGATATATACTTAAAACACCTTCTTTTGGGACAAATAATTGGTTTTCGCCCTTGATTTACGGAAGATTATAGCCAAAACATGCATTTTCATAACTTAGCGAACTGAAATCTACATTAAAACTGCAGATAACTACTTAAAAATTCACTTCCTTGAATTGAAAATAGGTTTTTCTTTGTAATTATAAACAGATTCCAGTCAAAATCGGCTTCTTCGATTCATATCGTATCTAAAACCGCATCAAAACTGCAAATATCAGTTTAAACTATCATTTTTTGATACAAACAGTTATATATTCATGTCAATATCTTTCAAATTCTAGTCAAAATCGGCGTCTTTGGGCATTTTAGTAACGAAAACCTTAATAAACTATTAGATTTCGACGTAAGGCAACCTTTCTGAGTCAAATAGTTGCCGATTTCGATAAAATCTTAGTCAGAATCTGCTTTTTCGCCTCTTATTGTACCCAAATCTACCTTAGAAATGCAGATATATACTTAAAACACCTTCTTTTGGGACAAATAATTGGTTTTCGCCCTTGATTTACAGAAGATTATAGCCAAAACATGCATTTTCATAACTTAGCGAACTGAAATCTACATTAAAACTGCAGATAACTACTTAAAAATTCACTTCCTTGAATTGATAATAGGTTTTTCTTTGTCATTTTAAACAGATTCCAGTCAAAATCGGCTTCTTCGATTCATATCGTATCTAAAACCGCATCAAAACTGCAAATATCAGTTTAAACTATCATTTTTTGATACAAACAGTTATATATTCATGTCAATATCTTTCAAATTCTAGTCAAAATGGGCGTCTTTGGGCATTTTAGTAACGAAAACCCTAATAAACTATTAGATTTCGACGTAAGGCAACCTTTCTGAGTCAAATAGTTGCCGATTTCGATAAAATCTTTGTCGGAATCTGCTTTTTCGCCTCTTATTGTACCCAAATCTACCTTAGAAATGCAGATATATACTTAAAACACCTTCTTTTGGGACAAATAATTGGTTTTCGCCCTTGATTTACGGAAGATTATAGCCAAAACATGCATTTTCATAACTTAGCGAACTGAAATCTACATTAAAACTGCAGATAACTACTTAAAAATTCACTTCCTTGAATTGAAAATACAATAAGAGGCGAAAAAGCAGATTCTGACTAAGATTTTATCGAAATCGGCAACTATTTGACTCAGAAAGGTTGCCTTACGTCGAAATCTAATAGTTTATTAAGGTTTTCGTTACTAAAATGCCCAAAGACACCGATTTTGACTAGAATTTGAAAGATATTGACATGAATATATAACTGTTTGTATCAAAAAATGATAGTTTAAACTGATATTTGCAGTTTTGATGCGGTTTTAGGTACGATATGAGTCGAAGAAGCCGATTTTGACTGGAATCTGTTTAAAATGACAAAGAAAAACCTATTATCAATTCAAGGAAGTGAATTTTTAAGTAGTTATCTGCAGTTTTAATGTAGATTTCAGTTCGCTAAATTATGAAAATGCATGTTTTGGCTATAATCTTCCGTAAATCAAGGGCGAAAACCAATTATTTGTCCCAAAAGAAGGTGTTTTAAGTATATATCTGCATTTCTAAGGTAGATTTGGGTACAATAAGAGGCGAAAAAGCAGATTCTGACTAAGATTTTATCGAAATCGGCAACTATTTGACTCAGAAAGGTTGCCTTACGTCGAAATCTAATAGTTTATTAAGGTTTTCGTTACTAAAATGCCCAAAGACGCCGATTTTGACTAGAATTTGAAAGTTAGTAATTGGTAATTTTTTGGATGAAATTATCAGTTGGTCCATGTTCAATAACTGATTGAAGGCATTCCTTATAGGGAAATTGTTAATGATGGTTTGTTTTTTATCTGCAGGATTATAACATGAAAAAAATTTACCGTCAAAAAAGTAAATAAAATATTTTAAATTTATCATGCAATTTTAGTAAATAAATTGAAAATCGACTATTTGAAATACTTACACATATATATGATTCATTTAAATGTTGACAAAAACAATAAAACTAACTTGAATTGTGTAAATAATTTTAAAAGATTATATGAAACGTTAATTTTATACCAAATATCAATTACGACTTATAATTTGAACATGATAAAACTTTACCTGTGTTTATATCCATTTATCCGAATAATATTTTACTTGGATAATTTTTTTTCCAAATTGGCAATGATGGTTTTTATTTAAATTTCTTATGATAATTTCTCTAGAAGTTATCAGAAGTCGTTTTATTGATAACTCATTGATGATAATTTTTGCTGTTAAACTATCCTCTTCTAAGCGGTTCTTCAATGGTCTAATTTGTTACCTGGGACGTCAGCTTTTTTTTTTAGGGGGTAGTGAAACATCTAGTTCTTGTATCAATTTTCTTTCTGCAAATTTTTTGAATCCTGTAACCATAGGAAACAAAACGATTATGAATTAGAGGTTATGAAAAATAATATGGCATAAAAATTAAAAATGATATATTAAATACCTTTAATTTAAAAATTCGTCGACATGTACCCATTTTGACATTTTCTACGTTTAACTGTGTTCGCGTTTACCATAGTTTGAAACTCGGATGGGCATTGTAAAACCGCATCAAATAATCCTACAACTGTTGATGACGTCATAAATTTAAAATTGTCATTATTAATATTAGAATTAAGATTATGTATTATTATTGTTGATTGGATAAATGAAGTAATTATGTACAAAGGCATTACAATTTTTGTTAATTTCATCATGATATTTAGATATTGTTATTGGAAAATATATTTAAAAGTAATTTGTAATCTTTTACATTATTTTCTTAAAGAAGTAAAAAGAAATCTGTAATTTCGAAATTGCTTGATAAATATAGGATACTATGTAAAATAATTATTGATTTTAATTTGATATATTTTATAAAATAAATATTAAAGACTTACTTGTTAAATTAAAATTTCTTTATCCAAATAATGTATTTAATTTAATAAAATAATGTATTGTATCAATTATTTGTCGCAAATTCTCAAATTCTATAATCATCACAAATGAAATAAAAATAAATTAGAGGTTATAAAAAATAAAATCACATACGACGAAATATTACAAAAATATTGTATCTTCATTTACATTTAATGAAAACTATTTTAGTCAAAATGAAAAGATTCTTTATGATAAAACATCCGATTTTTGTATTGCATTAGTTATTTTTCCACAAATTCTTAAATCCTGCAACCATCGGAGACAAAACAATAATAAATTAAAGATTATGGAAATTATTATTACACAAAAATTTTAGAGGTTATGAAAAATAATATCGCATAAAAATTAAAAATGTTATATTAAATACCTTTAATTTGTAAAATGTATTTGTTTCTCTTGGAAATAAATCCCAGTGATGCATTTTTTCACGCAATTGACGACGACATGCCATAATTTAAAAATTCGTCGACATGTACTCATTTTGACATCTTCTACGTTTAACTGTGTTCGCGTTTACCATAGTTTGAAACTCGGATAGGCATTGTAAAACCACATCAAATAATCCTACAACTGTTGATGACGTCATAAATTTAAAATTGTCATTCATATTAGAATTAAGATTATGTAATATTATTGTTGATTGGATAAATGAAGTAATTATATACAAAGGCATTACAATTTTTGTTGATTTCATCATGATGTTTAGGTATTGTTATTGGAAAATATATTTGAAAGTAATTTGTAATCTTTTACATTATTTTCTTAAAGAAAAAGGAATCTGTAATTTCGAAATTGCTTGATAGATGGTGTAATTTGATATATTTTCTAAAATAAATATTAAAGACTTACTTGTTAAATTAAAATTTCTTTATCCAAATAATGTATTTAATTTAATAAAATAATGTATTGTATCAATTATTTGTCGCAAATTCTCAAATTCTATAATCATCACAAATGAAATAAAAATAAATTAGAGGTTATAAAAAATAAAATCACATAAAATTTAAAGATTCTATATTAAATACCTGTTATCTGTAAAGTGTATTTATGTCATCAACGATAATATTTTAAAAATTTCATAAATTACACGATTATATACGACCAAATATTAGAAAAATATTGTATCTTCATTTACATTTAATGAAAACTATTTTAGTCAAAATGAAAATATTCTTTATGATAAAACATCTGGTTTTTGTATTGCATTAATTATTTTTCCACAAATTCTTAAATCCTGCAACCATCGGAGACAAAACAATAATAAATTAGGGATTATGGAAATTATTATCACATAAAAATTAAGATTGTTATATTAAATACCTTTTATGTTTCTTTATGAAATAAATTCCAGTAATACGTTCTTTATGCGATCATCAGCGATATTTTTAGAATCTTGAAATTTATAGACATGTATGTTTTCTTACCATCATTTGACTGTAGTTGGGTCTATCATAATTTCTAATAATTTGGATGGTGATTTAAAGTAAAAATAACTAAATTTCATTACATTAGATAACAATTTTTAATTAATATAACTTTATGAGACACATTTATTTATCTTTGATTCAAACCATCTCAGTTGAAATGTAACGATTTTTCATGATGATAGTTCCTTGTTTGTATTAATTTTGGAGTTTCATATTTACTGAAAATAAAAAACAATAAATTAAAAGATCTGAAAAACAAAAGTATATTCAAAGTTATTATTTTATGAAATTCATTTTAAAATGTATCTTTAATAACTAATCAATGGTAATCCTTATATATTCATTGATAAATTAAAACAATGTTCAATTTTCTTTCTTTCATTATTATAAATTACTAAAAATTAAATTTCAGACAAATAATAATCTTAATATGGCAATCAATAATTAATATTTTCATCAGCAAAAATGTATAATCGAAACTTTCCAGGAAATGCCATTCCATTTCATTTTTCAATGTCCGAAGTTTCTAGCACTGTCCATTGACCAACGGTATAAAACAGTTCAATCTTTAAAATTGTGCCCCAATTGCTTACACAGTGGGCATCCTGTTGAAAAGTGTCGTTTAGGTCACTGCAGGCAGTGTAATCAAAAACATAACTCGCTATTGCATCAAGCTGAATCGGAAAAGGAATCGATTACTTCTTCTGATCCAAAACCCGAATCATCGAAAACTCCTATTCAAGGTAAGGTAACATTACACAATTCCTACCCCGAAAGCCAAGTTTTGCTTGCCACCGCGGTAGTTGAAGTATTTGATTCTGATGGTGAAAAACATTTATGCAGAGCACTTCTTGAGAGTGCTTCAATGTCCAACTTTATTACTTCAGAATTTGTTAACAAATTAGGTGTCGAAAAACACAAATTCAATTCCTCAATTTTAGGCATTGGTCAAAGCAATTCCAGCATAAAACACTCATGCATTGTCAAATTCAAAGCCTGTTATTCCAAGTTTTCAAGACAACTAACTTGTTTAGTTATCCCACAAATTACGGGTGAATTACCGAATTGCTATTTCGATCCCATCCAGTTAGAAATACCATCCCACTGTCAGTTAGCCGATCCTAAATTCTATGAACCAGGTCAAGTGGATCTTCTAATTGGCGCAGATACATTTTGGGATTTACTTGATAATGAAAAGTCACACAAGCCTATTCTACATAACAGTAGATTAGGATGGTTCATTTCTGGTCCGTTAGGCATTTCCACCCCAAATCATTCTTTCTGTCATCTCTCCACTTTAGATGTTCAAAAACAGTTAGCCAAGTTTTGGGAAATCGAAGAGCTGTCAAGTGAGCCGATCCTGTCGGATGAAGAATTTCAAGCCGAAAAACACTTCTCTGATAATTTTAAGCGCGGTTCGAATGGTAGATTCACTGTAGCCATTCCACTTAAGAAATCATCAGAAGTTTTAGGGGATTCCAAGTTACAGGCAACAAACCAATTCTTGCAGCTGGAACGCAAACTTTCGAAAAATCCCAAATTAAAGGCCATGTACACAGATTTTATGACCGAATACCACGATCTAGGCCACATGTCAATTTTTGCTTCATCCAATTCCAAACCTAGATACTATTCACCACACCATGGTGTTCTAAAGGAGGATAGCTCTACTACGAAACTTAGAGTAGTCTTTAACAGCTCAGCTCCCTCTTCATCAGGTGTATCCTACAATTCTATCCAGATGGTTGGGCCTGTGGTACAAGATGATCTGGTTTCCATCATGCTAAGATTTCGGCAACACCAATATGTCATTTCTGCAGACATCTGTAAAATGTACCGACAAATATTAGTCCAAGAGGAGTATCATCCTTTGCAGCTTATTCTATGGAGAGCAGATCCCATGGATGAACTTCAAACTTTCTCTCTTAATACTGTGACTTATGGCACGGCAAGTGCTCCTTTTCTAGCCACACGCTGCTTAAAACAGTTAGCTATCGAATACGAATCATTGAATCCTCATGCATCTCGAGTCATCAGTAAGGATTTCTACGTCGATGATCTGCTATCTGGAGCTGACAGTTTCGAAGAGGCAGTACGTTTGTGTCAGGACGTTTCATCAATCTTAAAATCATGCAAAACAAAGTCTTCCAAGGGACATCACAAACCTTTAACAATCTTCGAACTCCGTCATGCAAAGGAAGTTTTAACCAAGTTGTCTCAACGCGAAAGCTTTTTAAGGGAAATACATGAACTTTCAAAGTCAAATCAGGTTTCCTCAAAAAGCAGACTTCTTAGTTTGACCCCTTTTCTTGACGATGGTCTAATTCGTGTAGGAGGTAGACTTAAACATTCATTATACCCATTTCATAAAAGGCACCCAGCACTTTTATGTTCAAAACATCATTTTACCTACTTGTTATTTAGGTACGAACACAAAGTCCTTCTGCATTGCGGCCCACAATTACTTCTCTCCCATATCAGGGAAACTTTCTGGCCAGTCGCAGGTAGAAATCTTGCCAAGCGCATTGTAAGAGAATGCATTGTGTGCTTTCGATTCAATCCCACTATTCCGACTCCAATAATGGGTAATCTTCCAGAGGCGCGAATTTCACCAAGGCCACCTTTTTCAGACACAGGCATTGATTACGCCGGCCCTTTCCAAATAAAAGATCGCAAGGGACGCGGATGTAAAATACAAAAATGCTATCTCGCACTTTTTATTTGTTTGACTAGCAAGGTAGTTCATCTCGAACTTGTCACTGAATTGTCAACACAAGCCTTTCTAGAGACATTTCAACGGTTCATAGCTCGCAGGGGTAGACCAACCAACGTATATACTGACAATGGTACCAACTTTAAGGGGGCTAGTAATCAGTTGAAAGAATTGAGCGATTTTTTAAAAAACAACTCAGATTCTGTAAAAAATCAGTGCGGATTGGACTTAAATATACAGTGGCATTTTATAGCAGCCTACTCGCCTCACCACGGAGGTCTCTGGGAGGCAGGAGTGA